GAAGAATCCTATTGAATGTAAGCAATTTCCGTTTAATGTCTAGAGTTATGATCCTTGTTTCACTTATTTGAACCTTGTGATGAACGCCAAACGCCAAAATTTATCGTCAGATCTTTGTGAAATTTATATGCATTATTCAAATTAATGAAAACATGAAGCCGTTTATTACGTGTAGAGTTATGGCCCTTGTTTCACTTTGTTGACCCTTGTGAACGCTCTAACGCCAAAAGTTATCATCCGATCTGTATGAAATTTATATGCATCATTTAGATTAGTGCCACCACGAAGCCTATTGAATTTCAGCAATTTATAATACTTTCTTCTAGAGTTATGGCCCATGTTTCAGTTTGTAGAACCTTGTGAACCCTCAAACGACAGACATTTTAATCTGATCTGTATGAAATTGTCTTGTAAATACCCCTAATTACCGACAAAAGAATACATATGCGACAACCCTTGTTGACCGCTCGAACGATTTATCTGCTTTTGGCGTACTGTTTCGTTGCCTAGCAACCTAACTTTTTCTCTTAATTTACGTTGACAATTCCAACACAATATTGAAATCCTTAAACCCATCTGGGTTCTTACATCGATATCCCTTCTCCCTGGTCAGTGAACTTTCATAACTTCGGTGTATTAAATAGCTATTGTTCAGGGAAAAATAAACCGGAATCTGAATTTCGGAAAAAAAATTAAATCTCTCTCTTACAATAACTAATTTTGTGGGTGAAATATAGAACAAAAACCCACGAGAACCCACTTGTGACAAGAGGTCTGGGATCAACGTTACACCGGGCAGAACCTTTGAGGTGCACACAGAGACCGGCAAGCTAGATCAGACGTCTTTTTATCAAAGGCCACCAAATATGCTTAGGTGCGAGTCCACTACAGTTTGAAATAAACTAAGGGATTGCCAGTGCATAACATTGACACCGTTCTGCTTTAGAAAGTCGCGCGTAACTCTGGTGGTGTGAGCAAGGGCGATGTCATGCCGGAAAGCGTTGTTTCGAAGACGTGCGAAATGTGGTATGGTGTGGGGTCTGGGGGCTTTATCGATGTAGCGCACTGCTGTGATGCCGCCTCCTCTCCCTGGAACAAGACTCACCCTGAGACCGGGAACAACCTTTGGCGTGCACATTGAGATTGGCCAGCTAGACAACATGTTCTTTTATCAAAGGCCAACGAATATTTTATGTTTATGTGCGAAACTATAGTTTAAAAAAGAGGCTTTTGACTAGAAAATAATGCTATGCGAGACCTATATCAAATTTGCCAAATCACATATATCACATATATATATAACTGAATTATTGGGTAAATCGTATGGCTGATTTCTTTTTATATTAGACATCATTCATATACATATCAATAAAAAAGCGAACAATGCTCTTTGTAGCTACAAGTGTTATTGATATGTTGTTCAGATAGTACAGAATATATAACGAATCTTATACAAATCGTATGGCTGATTTCTTGTTAATAGCTATATTAGACATTCATATAAATATCAATAAGTATAAGTATTATTGATATGTTGTTCAGATAGTGTAGAAAATATAACGAATCTTAAACAAATCACCCAATAACATTGTACCGTAGATTCACATTTTCAGAGCCAATATTTTATTGTCTTCGTTGTTTTTGTTTTTGTTGTTGTTGATAATGTATAATGTCTAACATAAAGTGAAAGGTTTTGGATCGCAGGGTCTTCTTCGAGTCACATATCGGATCCGATTGGTGGAAGTATTGTAAAGGCACTGTTATATTATTTCATTGAAACTTGTACCTGCTACTTACATGGTTTATACTCATGGGGATATTCAGACATTTCACAATCGCAGACCTGAAGGGAGATAACTTTAAACATCTCTCTCCATCGATTTCAACGTAAAATCGATGACCATTGATGAATATAATAACCTTATAATAATTTGTTTTGAACACCCGGCTAACTTAATATTTATTATTAGAAATAGCCCAGTCAGGCACAACCATCTGGATTTTCTTTTTAACGTCAGGTCAAAGGAATCTATGGACTGTGGGATCATTTTCTAATGTCATTTCCCAAAGTCATATCTGTTTATTACCTGCGCCCTCCGTCGATAATTTATGATTTTTTACAAAAACCTGGCAGAAAATATTAAGTCAAACATACTTCTTCGATTCTAGACGGAGCCACAGTAGCCAAGTGTTGACCAGGAAAGTTCATAGGGGTTTTCCGGTGGGGTTTACCCTTTATCAGTGGTGCAAGACGGAGGGTCTGATAAGGAGAGCTGTCTAGTCGTTCGGACGGAACGAAAAACTGAGGTGCCGTGTGCACCTAAAAATCCACTGGCAGTTGGAATTCGATATAAGAGTAGGCCGTAGCGCCGCTGTCCTAGCAAACTTTCCCTCATAGTAGACTGTGTGGCATATTTATTATTAGCCCAGTCGAGGCAGAACAGTAGGACGTTAAACCCCACTTCATTTCCATCCTAGACCATCAACTGAAAAAGAATTACTCTAAAGAGGCGACCCATGACAAGGGCAAACAATTGTTACCTAGTTCAAATAGATAAACAATTTAGTGATTAAAGAAATTGCCATTTCAATTTCAGTCTTGGTTTCTTTTAATATTATATATATTGTTGGTTTTTTTCTGAAATGAATATTTGATTGTCTTTATATGGTTTATGCTTTTGATGCTGTTATTGAAATGTGTGCGTACATTAGGTAATTCATTGATATGTCAGAGCAGGATAGTAGGACTTTAAACCCCATTTCATAGACACGTTTCGGTTCACGTGCTATTCTTTGGGTCACAAGTATGATCCGAGTTGTGTAAACATAAAAGGGAACTGTCATATGGTAACAGTAGCGTACTACTTACATGCTTTATACCCAGTCGCGTTCTGCACAGGGAATATCCGTTAGGTGACAATACCAATATTGTCCTTTAATTCAAAGTATGGATAAGCAACACAAGGGAGATAACTCCTAAGTTTTTACCCTTTAATGGTTGTAAGTTTAAATTATCCTGATTTTAATATATATTGCAGAATTGGGCTAATTACGACATATTTTCCACAAACGTTTCTCATAATTTATCCCGTCCCACTACTGATACAATATTCTACAATGCATTAAATGAAGAATTGATACAATAAATACATCAATATCTGATTTTTAATCTAATTTTATTAAGGATTAAAATTTCGTTCACAGTAAATGTTAGTCAGTAGACTATCGTCTATGAGCAAGTGGTTGACATTCAACAGACGCCCGTATTTGGCATAAGATAGGGCTCTCATTTTTCCAATGCTTCAGACCGAATATTAAAACAACATTGTAGGATCTATAGCGTTCTAAGGTCTGCGGAAAAGGGAGATAACTCGGGAACGGAAGCCCACTGAACGCTGTATATCGATAATGTTTGTCCTCTCATGATCCCCGAATGCTTCACACAAAATTTATAATAAATCATGTATGGAAGGCTCTGGAATGCTGAATATTAGCAGTGATCATCTTCGTGTGAACCCAATGCTTCACAGATAATTTGAAAAAAAAAACAATATGATAAAAACATAATAGGCTCTTTTCTGCGTTACCTAAGGTTTTCGGCATGGGGGTGGGGCTTTAAGATAGTCACTAACTTCTTATAACAAGTCAAGATCCTAGTGTACATTCACTAATCTTAAAATGAGTTAGTACACAAATTATCTATATGAACACGATGACATACATTTAACATTTTCCTAAATAAAAAACAATCAATACGACACTTATTGGGACGCACTTTCATGAAGTTATAGCTGATTGGCGATTACACATAAATAAGCTAAGTGTTGTGTATTTGATAAAGTAAACAATACTTTTATTTGGCCAATGCAAAAGTTTTATTATTTAAACAATGCACAAAATAATACTTGCATTCAATGTTTTGTATTTTTTGGCGGCATGGGTCCGGTTTGAGGAAGCTGGCATTTTGGTAAAGGGGAGCAACTCCTCCGAGCTGAATTTACCTTAAATGTATTAAGAACATCGAGGTACATACTTATGACTGATAAATACTCGTTATATTACTATATTCAATTCATACTTTATCTGTTCGTTAACGTTTTCTTTTCTCAAATTATATATTGTAATGTGTGGGAGCGGTATTTTAATCGTGAATCTGCTTCACAGATGTAGCAATTAGGAGTGCATGATGTTTGTCTGAACTGACAAAATACTCTTAACTGATCAGTTTCCGTTCCTATGCCCAGTTGATGGATTGGAATTGTGTTTTGCTTTGCGATACCGAAGTTGATCGATGTGCTAACTAAAACCAAAATGTGAACGTTGAAGTTGCTTGTCATTGCCAACAGACGACATACTGGTTTGCCCAGTACTACCTTCTATAGATGTTAGCAGCTTTCATGAACCAGCATCCTTAGGAACTGAATTGGGTAATCCAATACAAGTCACAGATTAACAAAACGTTTACGGTTTAGGGAGCTTCTCAGAAGGGAGATAACTACAATTAACTGACTTCCCGAAGTTTGAGCCATTTGTTAATCCCAAAATTTAAACCAAAATTTGTTCTGTAATACAGCCAATCGGTGTTGAAATAACCACATTTAACGAACTAGTTCATCTCCAGTCCAGATCACTATGCCCAAATTTCAGGTATGTTGAAATAATGGTTTTACAAAAAATAAACTTTCTTTGTGACTTTTGTTGGTGGGTGTCGTGGGGGAGGGGGAAGTGGGTATCACGACCAAGAAGATGCATTTCGCTTGGAGATTTTGTCATTGATTACAGAGGTAAAATTAAATACTAAATATGGATTAGAATATACAGATAATTCTGATACATTCACTTTTGACCATAAACCACATTAGGGTAGACAACATTTAGATTTAATATATAGCACCGAAACTCAAATGGAGAGAAAACATTATTTTTATATATTTTATAAACACATTGAAAACTTATATAATTATTAAAGAAAGATTTAAAAAAAAAAATATGACAAAATTATATATTAAACTTTTCTGAGAATAAAGGAATCGAGTATATTTCGTACCCAATTTAGGCTCGATTTTATATAGAACCTGTTAATAGATTACATAATACTGATATATAGACAAATACTTATATGTAGATGTTATATAGAATCTGTTAATAGATAATAATATAATACTTATATAGACAACGTCACTACACATATATTTATAATTATAGACATTCAAACACTAATAAAGAACAATTTGTGTGTTCCATATCTTATATATTCTTTTGTAGAGTTTTTTTCGCATCATCTGCAAGCAGAATACCAAATTATTTTGGTTGTGGACAATAAAACGCAAATATTCACACATTGTTTCAGAATACGAAGAATAAAAGGACATACTTCTGTCAATGTGTCTATTACATTAAACTTCGTAAGAATTTTCAAATTTAAAAAAAAAACTTAAATCAGTTCGTGAGTATGGAATTTGAGAAATCATCATTATTTATTTAATTGTACAACCTTTCCTTTAAATGGGAAGCCTGTGTCTTTGTAGCGAAACCAAGTTTAATAACGAAGTAAAACAACATAATTAAGTTTAGCTTTATACTCCTTTACAGATGAAAAATAAGCTTAAAAACACGGAACACATATCAACTCATGGGAACATAACACAAACAACGTTAAACTGCCATCAGTTCAGAACTTAAAATCAAATTTAAAATCTTCATGGATTCTGAACAATCATCATATCGAATTGATTGCCGATAAAGCAGCTTTGGCGTAATATGTAGTCAAGTGCATGGGGATATCATAAAAAAAACCTACAGAAAACACGATAGAAGAGCTTGTTTTTTTTACAATTACATCTCAGCAGAGAATGTGAGAGGACGGCAAATAACCAGCAGATAAGATCGCCGTAGCTCTAGTTAATCAGATTTAATTAAAGAAAGCGGCAAGAAGAGAAACAACCAGTAAAAGAACTGAAGAAACTATGGATGAAGCTCCACATATGCCAGGTCTGAGTTCAGCTACAAGTGATAAGTATATTTCTTTGGTCTTGGTTTTAGTGCACGATCCTAGTTGTGTATCTGCGCTTGCACAAGACGAATAGTACTCGTTGAATCTGCAAAGAAAAATAATTGTGAAGTGGACATGATAAATTATAGGTTTGCTCTTGGATTTGGGTGATAACCAGGCTAATTAAAATCATTTCGTATCCGTCTTTTGTAGGTAGTTTTCTCCATTTCATAGATTGGTCGACAGACATTTCTTTATACTGTCATCCATTAATCAGTACCTCCCCCCCCCACCTCCCCTCCCCCAATCTTTTCCAAGACTGTACAATACCACAGATTCTTCTCGGCCACAGGATCAGTTTCGTGCCAGTGATAATATCCCGTCGTGTGGGCATTTACAATGGACATCTCGTTACGTTTTATGCTAGGTTCCCACTATCACGCTTCGCGCTACGGTTGAAATCATGGTGTTAATCGTGGAGATCCTATCGGGTCTTATATATTTTGGTCAGTCTAAAGCAAGGCTGACACTTGCACGATTACGTGGCACGCATTGGCACGACTCGAGTCGTGCCAGTGCGCAAACTAGTCGTAAACTGGCGCGAAGTGTGCGTAAACCCGTCGTGACTGCGTGCCATGTCGGGACGAGAATTTTGAAATGTTCAAAATTTTGGTCACGACAAAATTTAGCGACCGGGTCGTGAACTATGCGCAAACTGTTCGTGAACTCGTCGGGACGATGGGGGAAGATGCGCGGGAGGATACGTGACAGTGCGCGCCATGCCACGACTGTCACGAACTGCCACGAATAGTTCACGAACAGTTCACGACTACTGCGGCACGACACCGACCGAATTGCGCGAACTCGTCGTGCCAATGCGGGAAGTGCGTAAACAATGCGCAAACTATGCGTGAACTCGTCGTGTCAACGTGGACACTGATAGGCACGCAATCGTGAACTCGTCGTGAACTCGTCGTGAACAGTGCGGGAGCCTCCCAGTTCGTGTCCCAAAATGGCATTACTTGCCACGACAAAATCGTGGCCAAAAGTCGTGCAAGCGTCAGTCTGGCTTTAGAAATCGTGTTGATCGTATGGAAAGGTATCCGAAGGTGTCTGCACGTACCACATCATGGACTCAGTGGGGACAATCTTATCGTCACGCATCGCCCATTTGGAACCTAGAATTAAGAAAATCTTAAAAGTACATTAGAACAAGCATTACTGTAACTGAATGGCCATGTGATGAGATAACGGCGTTCATCGGTTACTTCCGACATGGTGCAAATAGAGGACGTATTTGGAAGATGACTGAAATTTGTGATCAGTGTGATTTCCTTTTTTTTTTTTTATAAAAAAAACCACTATTTTCTGGATAATTTGTTTTGACCTGTATCTTTCCAGAAGTGTTTGTAGTTTAATTTATAGTAATCTCTCACGTAATTCATATATAGTGGATGGTTAGCACGCGTGCGCTGTATCATAGGGTCTGTAATTAAACAAAGCCAATAAACATATATTGTTATTCTTAAGTTGGCCCATTGGATTAGTTTGTGAAAATTCGTAAAGGCTTGGTATAGATACTTTCTGTATATGTATATAGATTCTTAGATGATTGTTTCATAATATTTAACCAAAATGATCCTGTTTTAGCTAATTAACGATTTACATTGTTTACTCAATTCACTAACCGAGAGTATTGAATTTACAATCGAAAAGAACAAATCTAGTCTTTAAGTTTTCTTGATGTAATTTCGACAGATGGCAAAATTGAAGCCAACCTATATTATAAAAAAAACGGTACACACTAATATTTTAATTTGTACTTGTAATATTCCCTACAATATGGCTTTAAGAGGATATCTAATAGTAAAGTTAAATACTCTAGACGCCATGAATTAAGAAATTTCTTAATAAGACAAAATTATCCTTTAAATTTAATTACTAACGGATTCAATAAAGCTTTAAAAAGTGACAATAAATACAAGTCAAAAGAAAGAAAGTAATAAAACCTTCGCAAGAAAAGGGTATGAATGTGTTAATTCCTTTTAAATCAGGGTGAACTGATCAAAAGTTCGAAAATGAAATACATTTTGAAAAAAATGTAAATTGATAAATAGTCTCTAAATTTACGCAGGATTCTGACGAAATAAAGATTCGATTCGGATTTTCCAAACCCTTCAGTATCCAAGTGTGGGGACTCACGATGCAATTTTTGCCCATATTTTAATGGAGGGCGATTCAATCCAGATTACTACAGATACAGAATTTCATGAGAAGTCAAAAAGATGAATTGTACATCAAATTATGTGATATATCTAATAACATGCAATGAGTGTTCTAAACAATTTATTCGGAAAACTTGTGACCAACTAAATATTAGAATTAACCGCCATCGTTTGCAAATTAGGTAAAGAGAGAGAGAAATGGGGTTTACCTTCCACTCGACACAGACTAGGTCATTTTGGGACTAACATATGGTTTTAATTTTATTTCAATAATTCGCTTGCGCGAAGGGGTCTTTAGCAGTTAGCAGTGGGAGGAAACCGGGGGACCCGGAGAAAACCCACGAGGTTGGACAGGCAACCCTAGTCCTTGTCACGTACAACCTGGGATTCGAAACCACGCCAGTTGACTCAATGACAGGCCTCGTGATATAGCGTGCACGTGCTAACCATTTGGCCATCCAACCCCCCACCCCCACCCCCCGCAAATTAGTTACCCGGAAAACAGAACAATCCAAGTCAGTACCCATTCGGATAAATGAGAACGAGGCGTATTCAAGGTTTTTAGTCTTTACAAAGAAAATTTTAAAAAAAAGTCATTCATTAGAATGTAAAGAAATGAATTTTATTTTAAAATATATGCCCTAATATATTAATAATGTTAGATATTATATTTTATTATATTTTACTATTTGGAGTTAATAAATTTGATATTTTTTTCCTGTTTCGTAACTACGCTCTGACGTAAAGTCACTCCATATTATACCTTTCTCTCTGATTTGCCCAGCCTTGCCCTTATTGGGAGTTATAGTGCGTTCACCATGATAGAGAACTGCAGGACAAAAAGTGGGTGGTTTTTTTTACTTCTTCTTCCACCCACCCCCACACACAAGCGGTCCGACAAACGATTCTGTGGTCAATTTGCGAATTTGGGGGTATATGTATCGTCGCTCATACAATGTGACTTCTATAACATTTGCATACTTTGTTACCTATTGAAGTCTTCAAGTCAAGTGTCAAGTGACATCTGTGCATGTCAAGGGTGGACAGCTCACCGAACAGTCTTATGTATTACATTATATTATATCTATATGACCTGAAGAGGTTCAAGAGAACTGGAAATGTTAGCAATAAACATATGTTTATTTCTTTTTTCAACGTAATTATCCCCCCTCTCTCTCTTTCTCTTTCTCTCTCTCTCTCTCTCTCTATATATATATATATATAGGAAAATGAGGTTTTTAGAAAGGAAAAACTAATTTCATCTTAGCTAGCGCTAGCTAGCCTGATGATCCCCGTAGTGGGTGAAAGCGCTAGCTAAGATGAAATTAGTTTTTCCTTTCTAAAAACCTCATTTTCCTATATACTTTTACCTGAGAGTAGAATCTTTTATTTATTTTATAAAATACGAGAGTTGACTGATACAATTTGTCTGTGGGCTGTGACAGCTTACAGTATTTTGATTCTCGCGATTCTATATTCAAAGACATGGACTGTTTCTATGAAAGAAAAATGAATCATACATACTTGCAGAAGTAAGTGGTTAACTCGGCGAAGGTAGAACTGCTGCTTATTGTAAGGTTATTTTCAGTCTGTTTGGTCGCTGCGCAATTAGCTATGACGCCATAATTAACACATGTTCCATCATACTCTGAAAACAGAAACAATTTCTTATAAAAGCTTAAATGGGGCTCTGCATTAGTATTAGAATTGGAAAGAGAATCTTGTAATTAACAGAAAATTAGGCGGGGGACAATAAAACAACTCACCGCTTTTACGAGAACACATAGTATTTAGAACTTCTGTATATTGTTCTGAAGAGGCTACCAATTGTTTGGTTTCAGTTGTTCCACAAGCTATGTGTGTATCCGCTACGCATTTCACTGCTTTTAATATGTCATCCAAATCTCTGAATCAATGGTACATATACAAATAGTTAATAATTAAAAATAAAACATAACAGATTATACATAGGCAATAGAATATAGCCACAAGGATGTCCCAGATTCGGGTTGGTTATCAATCAGAGAGTTTAGAAATAAACAATTCGGGGTCAAACACACAATTGGGATTGCACCACTCCATTCGATAAATGACTCTATTATCAATATTGCCGAACGATCGACACGGCCTGGAAAAGTAGGGCTTTAGTTTATGTTGTTTATTGTGTACATGAACCAATTCAATGCGATTTTCTACAAATTGTCAGCTGTAAACTACTGAATTTTAAAGACTGCTTATTTTTCATGAGTTGATATAAATACATAAATTAAACGGCGACTCGCGTCCTATTTTTCTGTAACAAGATGGTTAATGAAGATGAGAGTTTATACAAGGAACCCCGTCTTTATTAGCCCAGTCGGAGCAGAACAGTAGAACGCTAAACCCCCTTTCTTTTCATTTTATTTCATACAAGGATCGTCGTGGATGAATTGAGTATTCCATTGCTATATATATCGTGAACTGGACAGCTAACACGGAATATTGTATACCTCAGATTGTTCAACCCGCTTATTGTCATACGACGTGATCCACGATAAAATGTACCCAGATTAATTACTGAGCATTTAATTTAGAAAACTAATATACAATATCAATGGCAGAAGATATCCATGCTTGCATTCACATAGGCACATTCGGTGACGGTGGCTTGCAAGCTCTCTGTGTCATTTGCAGAGGATGTTGCGAATATCGCAATTTGCTAGCGATTCGGTACATCTCAAACGACGACCAGATTTTCCTGCGTGGCTTCCCCTGGTCAGTGATGCAGGACGGAGGGCCTGCCAAGGACAGCTGTCTAGTCGTTCGGATGGGACGAAGAACCCGAGGTCCCGTGTACACATTGGCGTGCACGTAAAAGATCCCTTGGCAGTTGGAATTCGATATAAGAGTAGGCTGTAGCGCCGCTGCCCGGGCAAAATTTCCCTCATAGCACAATGTATGGCGTATGCCCGTCTTTATTAGCCCAGTTTAGGAGCAGAACAGTAGGACGTTAAACCCCATTTCATTTCATTTCATTTCAAACGACGATCAGCAAAAGTTATGATCATTTTACTTTAAGTTTCTATTGATCTTGGACCGCTGTCGTTATCTCTCAGACTGATTAAGTAATAATTTGTGGTAAGGGTTTCGAGCAAGCCAGCAGATTCTACATACAGGTATATACATACTCATACAAGGTTTACGGAAAAGCGCGTGTACTTCTAGATCGGAAGGTCACAGAATGTGAATATCAAACGAAAGGTTTGTCCGCTCATCAACCCCAATGTTTCAAGAAATATTTTAATAGGAATATCAGTCAGATAATCGTTCATTTCCGTTCAGTATTTACACAGATATGATGAGCTCAAATTATATAGATAGATCTTAGGTGTTCCCAATGTAAAACAAAGTCCACTGCCCAATCTAATTGATAGACCTGTTTATAACATTTAACATTGAGGGAGGGACTAAAGAATAAATGTCAACGAGCTCTAATTGTGCCGTTACTCACAATCTACTAAAATCGCACGTTGATAACAAGATAAAACATCAGTAATTGGCTGAGATCGCGTATTCATTCACTAAACGCAAGGGAGATATTCGCCATAACCATCAAAGTACCTACCCACATGTAGCAGATATATCGCCCGAAGCTAATGAAGGTATTCCAGTAAAAGACAACGCATCTGTAGCCAGACCATTGTTTGTATTACATGCAGAAATGGCAGCACTGTATCCATCACAATTGTCTGTTTCGATCTGACACTTAACAAGACAACCTGAAATAGTCCAATATTAGTAAATTTACCAATTTTCGACATGAAATAGCGCACGAGTGACCGTGGTCTGTTAAGTGGAAATCGATATGTACATGGACATTTCCAAGTATTTCCCTTAATTTGACTAACCCAAATGTCCAATGACACAATGTGTACCGATTGTCGTGTGCTAAGCAGAGTGTATTATTACGTTGTCATAGGGACGCCCGCCGCGTGGGCATACTCCTCTCACCGGAAAAGGTCTCTATACATACTATTTTGACAATATATCAATGGATATGTTTACTAATACGGATTTACTAAAGGGCATTTTCTTACAGACCATCATGGTTATGTTTCGGCGCAGTTCCCCAGCTAACTTAAGCTCGAAACGGGCACCTCGGTAATCATGTTGCGAGTCTATCCGGTCTGCAGGACCACATGCCATTTTTTAAAATTTTGTTTATTATTTACGTTGGTCTATAGCTCGAGAATTGGAGGAATCGAGTAGTATTTTTTCAGATTTTATTGTAACGTATATTCCTCAATCCATTAGATATCGCGGACAAACCGATTAAAAACAAACACCAAAAAATGTACATAGTTCTACGGCAAGAAAAGTTTAATTGAATAATTAAAGGGACTATCCACATTTGAACAGAGTCTACAAAATAAAAGTCCAAGTACGTATGAAATTTAAACGCCAAAATATAGAGGAATGTTGTATATACCCTTTCTCAAAATTTTGTCAATTCAGAAGTACGTTTTTTCGGCCAAATCAGTTAATAGATGAATACCGCAAACGAAATGATTTATTTTTACGTCAATATTTCGCTCTGAATCTGTTAAACCTGAGCCATGTTTCACGAAAACTTAAATCTCCTTAAAATCGTAGATGCGTTTCACAAAACGATTTTAAGCATTTTAGATAAAATCTACTAATATAATATTTCAAGTTAAAATAGTGGCGTTTCACAAATCTATTTTATGGACAATTTTAGCTTAAAATCACGACATTAACACAAACATTGATTAGAGCTACGTTGTTAGATCTATTGCGACATTTATATATAGATATATAGATAACAAATTATTACCGTATGGCATTTCGACTTATACAAAATTACTTGTAAGGTTGGGACTTACAATTAATTTTTAGTTGCCAAATCTTTATTATTATTAGCCTTCGCGCGAATCAATGCGTTTGAGTTCTTCCTTAGTGGATTTTTTAAACGGAATATTGTTATTTTATTTAAATTGATCCTACTTTGAAGGAGTTAAATAGATAAATTGGCACAAATGTAATATGAATGTATTACATTCATTCGTTTCTGTTTTTGCTGTAATTTCTAATCAGTTATATTCGGCGAAATCCGCCAGAAGTCTCAATCTAATGGGAATTTCTAGCGTCTGGTTATTTCAGTCTACACCGAGAGTATTTAGTGTGCATGCTCTCCAGGTAAGAATATAGGTCACCGCTTGACATGACTTGTGGAATATGTCTAGCTTCGTCTTCGAGTCCCTTGTTACAAATAACGCTGAAACGCTTCATGATACACGATTCGTGTACCAATAGTAAAATGTTTAGGATCTATAAATTGACAGAAATGGGGCGCAACACATATAATAATGTAATATGAATATATATAAAATGATTTACATTCAATCGTTTCTGTAATTTCTAATCAGTTATGTTCGGCGAAATACGCCAAAAGTCTCAATGGAAAAGCAATCCCTAGCGTCTGGTTATTCCAGTCTACACCGATAGTATTTATTGCGCATACTCTCCGGGTAAAAATATGAAGTAACCGTTTACCATGACTTGTGGAATATGCCTAGCCGCGTTATTCTAGTCCCTTGTTATAAATGGCATTGAAACGGTGTACCTATGGTAAAATGTTTATTTTGTTTTAAATATTGGATATCAGAAGTCCATCTTTTCCCGATAAGATCACAACACCAATGTTGATTTAAATTGAAAAATAATTCGTGTTTTCAATGTCGAAGGCTTTGGATGGTTTTGAGTTAGAGACTTGGCTACTTTAAATACTTATTTTTCCTATTTAACTTGGTCGAAGTCGCGTCGGCAGATGTCTGTGACTCTCTAATAATTAAATGTATCGATGTTGTCTTGTCCACTATCCCAGGGGAAAGGGCTGTCGAGATAATTGTCATATTATTTTAAAGATTTATTAGAATAATTTAAATTTCACCCAGCTCTCACTTTGTATGCAGTCTGACCAGCCTAAATTGAATATCTTTGCCATCAAACGTCACCCAGTCGTCATGTAAAGCAGTAATTCTTGCAAAAGGAAATTAAGTTATTGTACGAGATCATTTTGATCGCCTAAACCAAAGAGTCCGTTGGAAAAAACACCGGGGAGACATGGCCTAAGGGTCAAGAAAAAAAAGTTGTTTGAATTGTTTATTTTAATTTGGGAATGCCCCTCTCCCCTCATTTTTTCCCGAAACACCCACTAGAGAGTCCAATACGAGTAAGTGACCAGGAGAAAAAAATATATTTGTACACATGCGCCGCGAAAATTTTCGCCCCCCTCCCCGGTGGGAATTAGCTGGTCACTAGGAATCGACCTGAAATATTTGATTCGACTAGTGGGAGAACGTGGAGAGGGATTATTTCTTCTTATAACGTATTTAAACCTAGGTCAGACCCCTCGCCCCTACACCAGTACGCCTAATTTGCAAATATCCATTCCAGGTCAGGAGGACGGCTCCAGGAAATCCCATTCTGGCTCGCTAAACGCGTTTCCACTGGCTATTGTATTTCGTTCGAGTGGGCCCGGTATGAATTTACTCGGACAGGCCCTATTGTCCGTCAAGACAACGTGCATAGAAAGTATCAATTCATTTAATTTTAAACCAAAATTCGCCTTCTACTCCGTGAGGCCCAAAGTTCACCAAGGTCAACGACTAACGCTGCCATTTTGTACCATGATCAAGTTGTTTTGATTGTTCTTTTTTTACCAACCTTTCTTCTTGCCTCTTCAAGAGTAATAAATTATAATTTAAGTTATGAAATTATTAACTTCGCCCTTTTGAGCGGCAATAATTTAATAGTGTAATCTGCTCTTCAAGAAAGGCGAATCGGGTAAGTTAAAAGTCCATTGGCATGTATCGACTGCAATATTAGTTAAAACTGACAGATCAAACTTTCAAAAAATAGGCATTTTACCTAACCAGGGTATTCTCGAAGGTTTTGAAACGGCTTAAATAATGCTGGCAAACACAATACTAGGTCGCGTGTACACGTTGAAAGATGGAATTCAGTTGCTGTTCGGCAAAATGTCATTGGTGCAGAAAAAATAAAATAAAACGTTAAACCCCATCGGATGTTTATTTATTGGAAAAATGATATTTACACAAGAAACTTTACAATGTCTAAAAGTACATAATTAAAGATATACCCAACCAGGCGATAATTGAATAAAATAAAAATAGAATAATTAATTTAAAAATCACATGTATAAATAATTTGACAACAGTACCCCTTCTTGCAGAGTCAATACATTTAAGTCCATAACTGAAGATTGAAAATTGAAAGTTTGAATGAAATCTCCCCCCAACCCACCGGCCGAATAAAAAAAATAAACTGAAATTATAGCAAAAGCAACAGGAACATTAATATGGAACAAACAACTTACAGGCCACGACTGCTACGAAGACAATTTGTAGAAACATCGTTGCGCAATAAATAGTATTTAAAAGAGCAGGTTCTTCACTTGAACAGATTTGCAAGCCGAATAGCTCAGATCACCACCACGAGCCAGATATATATACGATGAACTTTGTATTGATGAAAAGGTGCATTTAAAGGGACATTTTGTTTAAAATTATCTATCACAGATTCACAGTCCGTCGCCTTTCTGAGAAAGCAAAGTAATATTAATATGTCTGTCTGCTCGTCACACTTCTGCTTAGGAACACAGTAACACAGTTTCGAATTCATGCGAATGCTATAAAGGAGCTAAATCGCGAATTACATTGGGACCTAGAAATTGACACAAATGGGTCGCAACGCATATAATAATGTGATATGATTGTATATAAATTGATTTACATTCAAACGTTTCCGTTTTTACTGTAATTTCAAATCAGTTATGTTCGGCGAAATACACCAGAAGTCTCAATCGAATGGCCATCTCTAATGTCTGGTTATTCCAGTCAACATCGATAGTATTTATTGCGCATGCTCACCGTTTGACATGACTAGTGGAATATGTCTAGCCTCCTTCTTTGAGTTCCTTGTTACAAATGACTCTGAAACGCATTATAGTACACGATTCGTGTACCGATGGTAAAATGTTATACTGGATACCAAAAGCCCATCTTTTCCCGGTAAGATCACAACAGCAATGTTGATTTAAATTGACAAATAATTTGTGTTTTCAATGTCGAAGACGGGGATGATATTGAGTTAGATACTTAGCTACTTTATGTGAATTTGATCAATTCTAACCATACACATACAATGTGGCAAAATATGCGTGTTATTTTTCGCTCGACTGTTCTGATCCTACTGGGCTAATGAAGACAGGCACTACGGCCTACACTTATATCGAATTCTAAGTGTCAATGGATCTTTTACATCCACCCAATGCGTACACGTGACCTTCGGTTTGTTATCCCATTCTGTCCACTGACGGGGGGGGGGGGGCACGCCGTATAATCATTATTAATAAAAATCAAATATCAACATATTGTCGGTGTCAAATCTCTTTTTGCTATTTAACCTAAGATACACAAGTGGGGTTAACTCCCTCTGCCTAGTACAGTACACAAAAAGTGACGGTGGGTTATTTTCTAATGAATTCATGCCATGACTACATAATATGAAACACTAGACATTGACTGTTGAATTATTCGGGTTATATTTACATATTTCTTTTTGTTTAAACATATTTTATTCAAACATGTGAAAACCCTCTCCCTGAATACAGTATAATTTACAATAATAAAGTATTTACATATATACAAGATATTTACAGTACATGTAATTATATTATATAAAAATGAAAAACTTGTAGTATAATATCTATTAAATTAGGGAACTTTAATGAGAATTGAAAATAATAATTTTTAGAATCGTTGAGAAAGGTTAAAAAAATCATGTATGGTCTTAAAAATGGTAATACTTTCAGCAACGGAAAGATAATTTGATCCAAATAACATATTCTTAAAGGGGTGGCCGCTAGCCTTGCTTAGACCTACTCATTTTATTGCTAAACTGTTGTAATTTGGCGTTTTGTCTGGTTTTGGTTCCTTATTCCACTGCGCATATTGTTACGACTTCATGCAGTTGATATATTTTATAAAACCCTGATACCCAATTGTAATATGTGCAAATGTAGAAAGGTGAAAGACATTTACAAGCAATAGGCTTGTACATTTGTTAGTCAAAATTTAGGCCGGTATATCTTTTAAAATTACACGTGAAAATTGGATATAAATATTGTAAAGTTATAAATGCTTGCACGCTTGGCATATACCCGCCTGTTGGAAAGACAGAGCTTTGTCGAAATATTTTTGACTTCAATCTAGTTGTTTAGTTGTTTAGCTACTCCTTAACGTGAACAGTATCACATGCTTTGTATGAATAGCAATACGGATGACCCGTATTAAAGTCACACATTTGTTACTTGTGCAGATTTTGGCCTTGTCAGCGTAGCCCTATAATCACTGTTCGGGTCATAATTTATTTTAGAAACATTTTGCTTTTTCAAATTTGATGATTTTGTGATTTGGGTTTTTTTTTTCCATTTTTAAAATGTATATGCTGCACTTACTGGTTGTGTTGATACCTTACAGTATTATCTATAAAATATTATAGATAAATATGATAATAATATACGACAAGGAACACCTTTAAATCAAATATTAATAATATTAAACGATAAAGACATGCGTCTAACCTGTCGTCAACGCAATACGTGTTGTGTAAATATAGGACTCGATCGGGTACTATCCTTTTTCCATTGACCTTCATTGCGAAAGAGTGGAGATAATATTGATACCGACGTGAATTACTTGTATTCATTGTCTAAAAGACCAGTCAGTACAGAACAAAACAGCAAATTAACCCTTATTTCATTTTATTTCGTGTTTTAACACGTCGCCCTATTGTGGGCCGTCAGCAATTTATCCAACCACCAAAACAACTCATTATTCAAAAAGATGTATTCATATATAAAAGCAACTAAATGTTTTAAATGTTATTTGTAAGACACATGTATGTTCATTTGCGCCTTGTTCATTACTGTTTGTTTATTTGTCTGTTATTTATTATGTATATTAGATCTATATTTGTTACATTTCACAATTCTCCAAGTAAACTGCACTATTATATTTATACAATTTCTGAATATTTTTAATAACTTTTGTCTAATCCAATTGTATCATTAATTATTTTTACTGATGCAATAAAATATATTTAAATTAAACTAGCGAGAGAGGGAGAAATGGGGTTTAACTTCCACTCGATACAAACTAGGTCATTTCGGGACTAACATGGTTCAATTTTATTTCAATAATCCGCTTGCGCGTGGGGATGTTTAACAGTGGGAGGACAGAGTGCCCCACTCCTTGCCACATACATCCGGGGAATCGTAGTCCCACATATTCACGATGACGTATTATGCGTGTACACACTCAGAATTTGATTAAACTGCGCATGTATGTTTATATCCCGATGAATTTGTTTTAACACATATCGGACCGTAATTGCCCGGATTTTTGCCCCTAATTGGGCGAAAATTAAGTTTCACATTTTTTATTTGACATTGATTTAAGATAAAATATATGTTTATCAACATTGCCCCTAATTGGGCGACAATTTTGATGTCAGATTTTTCATTTGACTTTGATTTAAGTTAAAACACATGTTTATCAACAAAAATCGAGGATAAATTAGATTTTAGGGGCAATCAGACTGCTACATCTCGTTAAATTTGACCTTCCTCTTTACGCAAGTATTGGCAACACATGCGATACATATTCTATGAAACCACGATTCGTTTGCCGATGTAGATGGAACTTAATGATCAGAAGAAATTGAATAGGTTTGATTTTACGCACAATGTGAAATATGTACGACGTTTGAGGTCACTCTATTGGAACCTTCAGAGGTCACATTTTTTGTCCGATTCAGATAAAACCCAAAAATGTTGTTAAGGCTCTGAAGATCTTGGATGAGTTCGATTTTGAAATATTTGAAAATATCCGTTAAAAGTGTAGCCTTTATCGCGTTTACAGGGTTCTTGGGTACGTACAAAAAGCCACGGAGCGCTGACAATGGGTAGGGTTTGTCCTCTTATGACCTCAATGATTCACACCAAATCAGAAAAGAATGTTCAAACCGTAGCGTCTATCGTAGTCACACATCGCCACTGAAATATAGCCCAGTCAGAAACAGCCATCTGGATTTTCTTTTTAACGTCAGGTCAAACAACGAATCTATGGACTGTGGGGTCATTCTCTTATGTCATTTCCCAAAGTCATATTTGTTTATTGCCTGCACCCCCCCGTCGACAATTGATGAATTTGTACATTTGTGGTGCAAGACGGAGGGTCTGATAAGGACAGCTGTCTAATCGTTCGGGCGGAACGAAAAACCGAGGTGCCGTGAGCACATTGGTGTGCACCTAAAAATCCACTGGCAGTTGGAATTCGATATAAGAGTAGGCCGTAGCACCGCTGTCCTAGCAAAATTGGGGGGTTGGATGGCTGAATGGTTAGCGTGCACGCGCTGTATCATAAAGTCTGTCACTGAGTCGACTGGCGTGGTTTCGAATCCCTGGTTGTACGTGGCAAGGAGTAGGGTCGCCTGTCCAACCTCGTGGGTTTTCTCCGGGTCCTCCGGTTTCCTCCCACTGCTAAAGACCCCTACACGCAAGCGAATTATGTAAATAAAATTAAACCATATGTTAGTCCCGAAATTACCTAATTTGTGTCGAGTGGACGTTAAACCCCATTTCTCTCTCTCTCCCTAGCAAAATTTATAAGCCTTTCGTTTACAGTAAATGTTAGTCAGTAGACGTATCGTCTATGAGCAAGTGGTTGTCATACAACAGACGCCCATATTTCGCATAAGATAGGGCTTTCATTTTTCCAATGCTTTAGATCGAATATAAAAACAACATGTCAGAGAATGGTAGGATCTATCGCGTTCTTAGGTCTGCGGAGCTCGGGAACGGCCACTGAACGCTGCATATCGATAATGTTTGTCCTCTCTCTCATGATCCCCGAATGCTTCACACAAAATGTATAATAAATCCTGTACGGAAGGCTCTGAAACGCTGAATATTAGCAGTGATCATCTTCGTGTGAACCCAATGCTTCACAACTAATTTGAAGCAAAGGTTTTATTATTTAAACAATGCAAAAGTTTTATTATTTAAACAATGCACAAAAAAAATACTTGCATTCAATTCTTTGTATTTTTTGGCGGCATGGGTTTGAGGAAGCTGGCATTTTGGTAAAGGGAAGTAACTCCTCCGAGCTGAATATACCTTAAATTTGTTATGAACATCGAGGTACATGCTTATGACTGATACATACTCGTTATATTACTATATTCAATTCATACTTTATCTGTTCGTTAACGTTTTCTTTTCTCAAATTATATATTGTAATATGAGGGAGCGGTATTTTAATCGTGAATCTGCTTCACAGATGTAGCAATTAGGAGTGCATGATGTTTGTCTGAACTGACAAAATACTCTTAACTGATCAGTTTCCGTTTCTATGCCTAGTTTGTGGATTGGAATTGTGTTTTTGCGTTACGATACCAAAGTTGATCGATGTGTGCACTAAAAGCCGAAATGTGAACGTTG